AAAGAACAGTTACTACAGGTTTAACAAATGGTGTATTGCCTGACCCGTCCTACACTGATCAAAATGGAAGTTTGACGGGGAAAATGTCTGCAAGTCATCACACTGATGACTGTCACATGAGCTTGTTGCTTTCAATGCCATCACCAGACACTAGTGAGAGCGATTTTACACTGAAACTTTCCGACCAAGAAGCAGAATCAAGCTCATCCAAAAGTTCTCCTGAACATCAAGCATCTATAATGAGATACTTTAAAAGTGTGTCGGGTCCTAAGTGTAAAACTGTCCTGATTGCAAATGGTGCATCCTCCTCATCCACACTTCCAGCAGAAAATTCTCCAGGGACCAAAAACAGGTTGGGTCATTTTCTATGTTTTTCTGTGTCTTACAAGGGTTTAAAGGCCCTCTGTTGACAAGGAAGATATGAAAGACAGCTACTGTTATGTGAAAAATAGTCACCAACTTAACAGTAGAACCTGCTAACAAAACACCCTTAGGTACATGTATGACTTTCAGTTTGCATATTTCAAGATAGTTTTTGCCCAAAAAAGTACAAGAAGGGGGTTTTATGCCACCTTGAATTTTCAGAACATGTGTACTAAAGGCATTTGTGGTCAAGATGTCGATCGATACCCTCGATCGACCCTCTAGTGACATCTTGATCAGTAGTTGGTTGACACTCAATTCACATCTCAGTTGACAGACAACTAATTTCCGTAGACACACCACCCACACATATGAGTTGGTCAACACTCAGACTGTTGATCAAGTGCCAATCAAGTGTCGATTGAGATGTTGATTAAGTGTCAGTCTAGTGTCAACCAAGTATCGATCAAGATGTCAATTGAGTACACGTCAATCAAGATGTTGATTGAATGTCTATCAAGGGTATCGATCGACACTCTACCAAGACTGCCTCAAGTACACATGATCTGAATTGTCAATACTAAGGTAGCAACTTTGCTACATCTGCAATGAGCCATATGTTTAGTATTTTAGGTAGGATTGGGAATAGGTGCGAGAAAATTGTTACTTTTTTTGTGAATTTCTTTGGGATATGAGGTGATACATTTACTTATCAAGTTGCAAATGTATGTTTTCATGTCATGGCCTTATTTGTACAAATATATTTCAATGTGGTACATGTAGCTTTAGAGTTGTTTCACTGAAAAGAAGTCTCAGGATCCTGCTTTACAAATTTATTTCATGAAAGAAAGTTTCACCGCTTTTGTCTACTTGGGCATCATCAGTCCATTTAACTGGATGTTATTGCATGACTAGTTAATATTTTTGTTCTCTGGTATTGATATATTGTGAGCAGAGCTGATATTTTAACCAGTGATGCTGCTGAGGCTGATTTTAATACCTCTTACACAGTTAATATGTAACATTAAAAATGGTTGCTTGCCTACATATCATTCATAAGGTTTTTCAATTATTTATTGTTGTGTTCCTTTATTAGGATAACTCCTAAAAAGAAAAAGAAAGCAACAAAGCAGGAACAAATGTATTTGGTAAGTTGTTTTGAATGAATTAAATCACATAGCTAATTACCCATATAAGCTCGTACAATACAAGACTGTTAAAGGGATACTAGGTTGTTTAATTCTGGTCCTCATCTCATACCAAACAGGAAAGATCGTGTTTGACCATGTGTCCAAACACCAAGAAGAGAGTTGAAAATATGATGTGTAGCGGAGTATTTTTCATGAACTTTGAGGTGTCAGATATCCAAACATTCCCACATCATGATTTTCTTTGTTTAAACTTAATGTGTTTGTGAAACATGGTTCCTGAGGTGTTCTTTTTGGAAATTTTTGAATGTATTTTATTGTATTTAATACTGCAAGTATCTGCTTTTGTTGTTAGGATTTGGGTCAGAAAGACTTTGGTCATGTGACATGCCCCACCTGTGGCATGGTGTATACCAGAGCTCAGCCAGATGATGAAGCTGCTCACATCAGACACCACAAGAGCTTTGTTAGCGGTTTGAGGTTCACTGTAAGTTGTTTTCCCCAAGCAAAGTTTAGCATAACCATTGAGCAGAAACAAAGTAATTGTTTCCCATGGGGCTGATTACATGTACATGTTTAAAAAGTGTAAAAACATCTGCATTAAGGCCTCAGTTATAGCTGAATTGAGATTTTTTAAGGTCTTAGCTGCCGTTTGTTCATGTGAGGTATGAAGTCTAACAATTGTGTCTGTTGGAAATCAGGCTCACATGTTTGCTTGTTTTATAGTTCATACAGTACTTTACTTTTTGACTTTGTTGAAATAATTGCTTGTAAATGTTGCCCTAAGGTAAAGTTATATAATTTAGTGTTTTAAGATGCGTCACAGGAGATGTCCTGGTCTAGATAAAAAACAGGGATTTCATCAGTGTTTTTCACAGTAGGGCAACTGTTTTTCACAGGCGCACAAAACTTTTTGAACTAAACTCCCTTATAAGAAAAAAACATTCCTTTAGGTGGTCAAACCAGGCAGGCAAATTCTCTTCACAGCTGGTCAATTTGCCCGGTGCCTGGTCCTTAATGAAACCCTGTAAAAATAAAAATAAAAACGTTTTTGTTGTGGCTTAAGAACTTTGTCTGTTTTACCAGGGCTGGAAGAATGAGTGTGTTGTGAAGGAGTATCATGACGGTAGAGTGATCATGGTCAGCCCTGATAATCATCCTCTTCACCTTAAAAAGGTTTGATTTTATTAGCATTGATACATGTATGTTGTGTCCATGTATATGTGGAACAATATTATGTCCCAACATTTGTTTTCTTTTTTGCTTAAAAATGTATTATTATTGACTATATGTTATTTCGTGCAAATTGTTATGCAGTTTTGGTATTGGTGGAACCTGTGTTCACTTGACAAATAGTGCAATTTATTGATTTTTTGTGGTCGTTTTAAGGTGGAAGAAGTTCGCAAAGTTGTCGACAGTGAGTTAGGCTTTGTTGCTGATGTACCTTATAGAAGGTCTGGAGCTAAGGTTGGTGTTGATTGCGTTCTTTTCATGCTCACAAGACTCAGTATGTGCACCTTATTTTTATGAGTCAGGTTGTATTTTACAAGCCTATAGCTGTGCAAAGTACACCTGAAGGGTAAAAACACTGTCATGTTGAATTGAAATTGTCAGGCAAAGATTTTTATAATCTTAATGAAAAAAAGCACCCGTGTGGACCACAAAATTAATATGACAGGGTGAACATCAACCCTTGGTCTTTTTTGGACAGATCTTCAGAGTTGAAACCTTCAGCTGATGTTCTCTAAGTGGAACCCTGCACTTGGTTAATGATATATGCATATCTTGTTTTCAGACGTTTCTTTTTATTACCACGAAAAAAGTTGTTGGTTGTTCTGTAGCAGTTCAAATTGACCAGGTATGTTGATTTGATTTTAGCTTGAAATTTCAGGCTAATATTATTTCACATTAAACTATAAACAAGGAAGAACTTGACATCTTGTCTTTCCCTTGCATATAAATGTCATTATATCAACACTTGGTGGTCCTGTGTTGTTAAATAAAGTCAACTGACTGATGGACGGACAGACTGACGGACGGACGGACTGACGGACGGACGGACTGACGGACGGACGGACTGACGGACGGACGGACTGACTGACTGACTGACTGACTGATGGATGGATGGATGGATGGATGGATGGATGGACAGACTGACTGTCATGACTGACTGACTGACTAATGACTGATTTGCTGACTGAGGAATGGACTAACTGAGTAAATGACGACCGATTTACTGACTGACAGACAGACAAACTGACTGACTGACTGAATTTATTTCTGACGACTGATGAACTGATTCACCCATTGACTGACTTATTGGCTCACTAATTCACTGATTGATTGATTGATTGANTATGAAGTCTAACAATTGTGTCTGTTGGAAATCAGGCTCACATGTTTGCTTGTTTTATAGTTCATACAGTACTTTACTTTTTGACTTTGTTGAAATAATTGCTTGTAAATGTTGCCCTAAGGTAAAGTTATATAATTTAGTGTTTTAAGATGCGTCACAGGAGATGTCCTGGTCTAGATAAAAAACAGGGATTTCATCAGTGTTTTTCACAGTAGGGCAACTGTTTTTCACAGGCGCACAAAACTTTTTGAACTAAACTCCCTTATAAGAAAAAAACATTCCTTTAGGTGGTCAAACCAGGCAGGCAAATTCTCTTCACAGCTGGTCAATTTGCCCGGTGCCTGGTCCTTAATGAAACCCTGTAAAAATAAAAATAAAAACGTTCTAGTTGTGGCTTAAGAACTTTGTCTGTTTTACCAGGGCTGGAAGAATGAGTGTGTTGTGAAGGAGTATCATGATGGCAGAGTGATCATGGTCAGCCCTGATAATCATCCTCTTCACCTTAAAAAGGTTTGATTTAATTAGCATTGATATGTTGTGTTCATGTATATGTGGAACAATATTTTGTCCCAACATTTGTTTTCTTTTTCTGCTTAAAAATGTATTATTATTGACTACATGTTATTTCATGCAAATTGTTACACAGTTTTGGTATTGGTGGAACCTGTGTTCACTTGACAAATAGTGCAATTTATTAATTTTTTGTGGTCATTTTAAGGTGGAAGAAGTTCGCAAAGTTGTTGACAGTGAGTTAGGCTTTGTTGCTGATGTACCTTATAGAAGGTCTGGAGCTAAGGTTGGTGTTGATTGTGTTCTTTTCATGCTCACAAGACTCAGTATGTGCACCTTATTTTTATGAGTCAGGTTGTATTTTACAAGCCCATAGCTGTGCAAAGTACACCTGAAGGGTAAAAACACTGTCATGTTAAATTGAAATTGTCAGGCAAAGATTTTTATAACTTTAATGGCAAAAAGCACCCACTTGGACCACAAAATTAATATGACAGGATAAACATCAACCCTTGTTCAGAGTTCAGAGTGAAACTTAGGCTTATGTTCTCTCAGTGGAGCCCTGCACTTGGTTAATGATATATGCATATCTTGCTTTCAGACATTTCTTTTTATTACCACGAAAAAAGTTGTTGGTTGTTCTGTAGCAGTTCAAATTGACCAGGTATGTCGATTTCATTTTAGCTTGAAATTTCAGGCTAATATAATTTGACATTAAACTACAAACAAGGAGGAACTCAGTGACATCTTGTCTTTCCCTTACATATAAATGTCATTATATCAACACTTGGTGGTCCTGTGTTGTTAAATAAAGTCAAATGACTGGCTGACTGATGGACAAACGGACTGACTGACTGACTGACTGACTGATGAACAGACAGACGGACAGATGGACAGACGGACGAACGGACTGACTAACTAATGACTGATTTACTGACTGGCTGACTGAGGAATGGACTAACTGAGTAAATGATGACTGATTTACTGACTGACAAACAGACAGACAAACAGACTGACTGACTGACTGACTGACTGACTGACTGACTGACTGACTAAATTGATGTCTGATGACTGATGAACTGATTCATCCATTGACTGACTTGTTGGCTCACTAATTCACTGATTGATTGATTGACTGACTGACTGACTGATTGATTGATTGATTGATTGATTGATCGTACTTTCGACAAGTAATTTGTCATTGCTCTAAAAAGGTTGCAACATGTTGTGACTTGTTGATTGTAGAAAAAATGCTCAATTTGTACCATGTGAAGGATGTAGAGCATTTTGCTATTTTATTCACCTTCATTTGACATGCAGCTAACCTGTGAAAAATTGCAGCAGATAATTTAGTCATTAACTTACTGTTACAAAATCTTCAGGGTTATCCTGTTTTGCCTTCACCTGGAGAATCTTCAACCCCAGAAAAACAGATTGCCGCCTGGTGTTGCAGGTACAACACTCTTAACATCAATTAAAAACCTTACAGGAGGATAGCTATGTTGCTGTCTCTTAACGATTATCTGATGGCTTTCACTTAAACTAGAAAATCAAATTGAAAGAACTATGAAATGCAAAGTTGCCAACTGCAAGTACATGTAAGAGTTTCAGATTGAGTTAGCGTTTTACTTCCTCAATTCCATGCTGCTGGCCTCAGCTTGTTATTCCTGCTATGCGGGCAGCATTTTGGAGTGTCCATTAGAATAGCTTTGGGATGTTGACATACGGTATGTAAAAAAATGTTGAATTTCAAGAAAAGGGAAATGAGGCAGGGTGCTAAGACAAATAAAATACTGTTCTTTAAAATCAAACCGTCGTTCAATGATGAACCTGTAACGTTTCTTAAAATTATGTTTAAAATGATAACTCTCTTTTCAAGTGACATTTTGTAACGTGCAGTAACGCTGTTTATGTTTTTTTTCTCCCAAGTACCACCCCTCAGTCAGCTCAGTGTGGCATCAGCCGAATCTGGGTCCACAGTCAGTACAGGCGGAAGAAGGTTGCAACTCGATTGCTCGATTGTGTTAGGTGAGAAGTCAGGGATTATGCTTGAATTAGCCTGCGTAGCCGACGTCCCTTTCCGTTTTCCAGGTGGGGAGATCGAGCAAGCGAGCGAGCAAACGAGCGCGCCTGGGGTGAGCAAAAAATGGGGAGAAGTGGAGAGGAGGTGAGAAAAAAAAAAGGAGGAGAAGGGGGAGAGGGATAGGAAGGAAAGGGTTTTACCCCACCGCACTCGCTCGCAGTATTGTTCCCTTCGTTTGCTTTTGGAAATGAACGTCTGTTACACAGGCCATGCTTGAATAGGTACTGATTGAACACAACATCAACACCCCGACTGGGTTTGAAGCTCGGGCTTTCCATCTGTACTGAATGAAATATATCCTCTTTCATTTTTTTCCAGGATGAACTTCATTTACGGCTGTATTATTCCCAGAGAACTTGTCGCGTTTTCAGATCCCACACCAGACGGCAAGCGGCTTGCTAAAAGTTACGCCGGCACCTCACAGTTCCTTGTGTTCAGATAGCTTTGCACTGGTTGCATTTCAAATGCCTGATTCGTGAAGCTTGGAAATGTCCCCGAATGTACATCATTGTACTTTGTATTACCGTGTAAACGGTGTTCAGTCTTGGAGACAACTTTCGTTTTCGCTAAATCTTCGCAGGAGCACTGTCTAGCTTCGGAATCCTATTCTTTACTTGAAATCTAGTACGAACCTTCCGTTTCGTCGGAAAATTAGGCTGATTTAGCAAGAGAACGGGAACGTCTCTTGACGACGGCGCGCGCAGTACCAATACCCAAATATGGTCAAATTAGAACAGAATCCAGGTTATTCCGCGCGCCCTGCAGTCGTCATCTG